TATATATATATATAATATTAATTACTTATTTCACTATTATTTCACTAAATTGACTTCATGCATCACTGGATATATTTAAACTAAAATTTACTATTGTATATAATGTTTCATCTGCAGTAGTTTTTATGGCAGTAAATCCAATGATTTGTGAAATGTAATATTTAGTGCAGATAATATGTGTAACAGTGAGCACATTTATATTTATATACATGTATTTAAAAAACCTATAAATATATAGTTATATATTCAAGGGTTTTGCACTGCATTGAATAATGAACACTATATATATGAACTGTATATCATTGTATACATATACACATACAGTGGAAAACTGTTTTAAATAATATTAAAATATATTATATATTAAAGCAACACTGTCAACACAGTTGGTTAACTTAATTGATAAACTTAACAAAAAATAACAAAAGAGAGTTAAAGTAGTCTAATCATATATTTCCTAATGTAACTATACTATAACCTAATCAGGTAAGTCCCATAACTAAATATTCCTTTTTTATCGAGCTTTAACTAAACTGAAGCAGTTTTCTTAAAGTAAAGATTTGTTGAAGTACTGCAGGAACAGTGTATCATACAAATGTTTGTGGTTGCTGACTTATATATCGATTACATACTAACGCTAACTGAGAATTCTATGCACAGATTAACAAGTCATGCTAAAATGTGCACACACATAACATGTACTGTATCACATACATTGTATAAAACAATACTGTTTGTACTAAACACATTTTAAAGTAAATTATTATAATTATGTTTTTAAAACTCTGGGCTGCCTTCAGGAGCATGCACATAATAAAGACACACCAATGACAATGAATTTAAGTTTTATTGAATTTAGCAACTAGCATAATTAGGACAGAGGCTTGAAGAAGAAAAAGCATCTCACTGGATAAAACTTTGTCCAACTTGATCTCACTGACAGGCAAGAGGTGATCACGATCATCAGCACAGGTCACACTGAAGACTTTTGAATAATTTCACATCAAATGTCACTGTAATTTACATTTTCACACATTTCATGGATACATTTCAGCACATTGTGTTGACAGAAATGGATCGAGGTTGTGAATGAAATGTAATCCCTCCAGTCTGTGGACAGAGGCTCTCTTAGCGGTTTGCGTTACAGCTCAACTCTGCCATGCAACTGATGATGCAATAACTTGTAAGTAAACATGTATTGAACATGTAAATTGTGGAGCATTTACAACATGTATAAAGATACTAAAGCTAGAGTTCCTCACAGTTGTATTGACCGATGTCATTCATTAAGTATTTACATCATCAGTTGCTGCAGTCAGAAACACCAACACCAAGCTAGCTAACAGAAGAGTCAGTAAGTTTCATGAAATGAACTCTTTTTGTTGTTGGATGGACGGGAATAATGTTCAGATTAGATCACAGCGGAGCTCAAAGCCTGTTTGTGTCATGTTAAATGTCAAAGTCTGTTTGTTCCAGGATAACTAAAGATTGTGTTTACAGCAACTGCTTACAATTAGGCTAACAAGTAGGCTGTTTAACACTGAGCAACAAGGGGAAACTAAACGCACATTCAGTCAGAATATTAGGTGAGAAGTCAAAGACTGAACACAATGTTGGAGGGTCTGTTAAAGACAAGGAGCTCATTTCATGAAATTTCTTGACCCCAGTCTGAATCATTAGCCATATCTTCTTCTCCTGTCAACCATCACTGGCTTGGGATTTCCCTGTAAAGCTTTATCAGTGGCGCTCTCTAAGGCTCTCTTATAATCCTCTAAGCTCTGCTCACAGTTTTTGCCATAGTACGGTTGCTTGCACTCACACATCGCTACAAAGGTGTCTACCATCCAAAAACATGTTCCTCTTTGCGGACCTCCACAGTTGAGCTTGGAGCAGGGATCTCTAGTCATCATCTCTTCATCACTTTTAATCATAACCACAAACTTGCCACCTTTCGCACTTCGAGATTTCTGACACTCCCCTGTATAGATGTAAGGAGCTTTAGCTGAAGGGTTCTCAGGGTCGGCGTACACTTCATCTTCCTTTGCATCGTAGCTGTCATGACCATTTCTTCTATAGGCATGTATTGCTGTGTAAGTCTGAGATACTTGAAGTCTGTCCACATGTTGCTGACATTCTCTGAGTGTTTTTTCTACCTTGTAACACACAACTGACCAACTAATGCAGCTTTTGATGGCTTGTTTAACTTTACCTGCCTGTGTGTAAGTCCCTTTCACCTGTCTGGCTACAGACACAGTGACATCACCTTTTGGCACATCAGTAAATCCCGTCAGGACGTGTTTGTTCAGGGATTTGCTTCGTTTATGGGCGGAGTTTTTGGTTATAAATGCTACAACCATCCACTCATACCTGTCATACGCCTCTGATAAGAAAGACCTGATTGTCTTTGCTAATTCTTGCCGGTTTTTGGTGTTATCAATGAGCCCCTTCACATCTGTTATAACGTATTTCATACTGTGAGAAATGCAGTTTTTGTGGATTTGGAACATTACTGATGCAGAGTCGTATGCAATCTGAGCTTCCTGAGTAACAATGTCTTTGGAGGCTATGTTCTTGAGGTTGTAGCATAATTGATTTAACGTATTGCCTTTGTAGATGAGTTTAGCAATGAACACGGTAAATTCTCTGATATCTTTCTCATGACATTTAACATGATCAGCCAGCATCTTTCCGAGGTTTTCTATGAGAGTTGTTCCTTGAGCTGTCAGGTATTTGCGCAAGGTCTCAGGGGCGTCTTGGCTCTTAGAACAGACACTGATAATTTCTCGTTTAAGCATTTCTCTCTTTTGCTCGTCTGTTTCTTTTACAAGACTCGGCACTAATGTTTCATACCTGCTCCAGGCTACCTCGATATTCTTTTCTGGCTTGTGGAAGGCGCTACTTGCCCAGGTGTCCCATTTCAGCTCTCCATGATATTTGTCAAGCTTGGAGTTAAGACTATCAAATTCAGACTTGATAGCACCTAATACTGGGTTTGTGTTTGCTTTCGACAATCCCAAAAGTGCTGCATCGACAATAATTTTTATGAGTGGCCCGCACACTGGTATCAGCGACAGAAAAGGGGTGACCGCCAATCTGATTGTGTCAATGTTTTCAAGAATAACTTTGCCTGCCTTTTTAGCATCTTCTTTGAGTTTTTCTAATTTCTCTGGAGTTTTCTGCAGTTGATTCCGGTTGGAAGACGAAGAGACGGTCATGGTGGAGAGGAGGAGGGAGGACGACACCAACAGCAGGAACAGCAGAGCAGGAGACGCCATGACTGCTAACACACAACATGATAGACACAGACACAAAAATTACTAATTTATTACTACTGCTTAGATATTCACTTTTATTCAGGTATTTAGTTAGCATTGAACAACTACACCTGCAGAAGTAGTATCATTTATTTGTAGTAGCAGTTATTGTTTGTATTATTTGCAATAGTGGTCATACAAATAGTAGTTGTGCAAGTGGTCATACAGAACCTTTCAACAAGTCAGTTCAAAGTGCTTTGCACAGGAAGCACACACATTAAAGTCCCCATGAAACAGGAAGCAGGGTGCTGTTTGCTTCCTCATATTTACAGCCATTAGCAGCACCTTGTGTGTATTATGCCCCCACACTATGCAGCTAGCGCTATGAGCTAAAGCCAGTGTCCGTCCAGTGAACACAGCCTGACCCGGGACCGAACACAATCTCAGAGAACAACGGTGCCAGTCTGACAGGGAATTCAGTCCTGAGGTGGTTTTCTTGCCAGGTTTGGCTCCTGGCAGTCAGTTAGCTTAGCTGCACAGCTGACCGAGCTAACGGCACTTATCAATCTGTCCATCAGAAACTCTGTAAATGACCTCGGTGCTGTAAAGTTCTTCCCTGTTTGATCCTGGTCTGGCTGCTGAGCCCGGTTCTGTCGCCCGCTAACAGCAGATACAGTTAGCAGCAGTTAATTAGCTGTTTGCTACTTTAGCTAAAGCTATCTGTCCATCAGGAAACTCTGATCCAGTTTCACCAAAATCACGAGTTATAAAGTAGTGCTTTAGTATATATTATGAAATGCCTTTTAGGAAATTATAATATATATATATATCATGTTGTTGTTCCATTAATCACTGAACTATATGACCATTTACAAGGTGAGATACAAGATAATTATTACTAAAAGAACGTCGGATAGGTTATAATACAAGTGGTTTCTTTGATACAGTATTTAATAATCGGCACCTATGATCTATATTCACCTTCATCCAGCCCTTCTGCAGGTTGCTGCTGAACAGACATTGACCAAATTAGAAGGTGCGCATGAAGACGCCCATAAAGTCTGTGCGCCTGTAAGACCACCTTGATTTTAAGGGTGCAAATTATTTAAAACGGTTTTACGAGGTGGCTGGTAAATTATAAATTCCCACATGCACATTATTAGTATTAGACCTGTACTGCATATTCAAAGCCCTGTCTAGCCTATATTCTTCTGCTAAATTACTGCTGTACATATATATGTTTTTGTCCTGTGCAGTTATTTATTACACCATGTCACTACGTCCTGCTGTAACCTGTGCAATATCAATACACATCTGTATAAATACAACTCTATTGCTGCTCTATTTTTCATTATATCTTGCATTCTTCTTTTTGTGCGTCTATGTGTATTTCTTTTTTCACATGTGGAGCTGCTGTAACAAGTGTATGATCAGTAGAGTCAATCTTATCTTAACGCACCTGTGTCGTGTCAGGTCACTTTGGGTCATGTACTTGGTAAACTGAGTTCAAGCAGTACTTGTTGTAGTAATGATAGTATAAGCAACCACTATAGTAAGTACAATAACTGGTCCTCCTGGGTTTTGAAGGACTAAAACCCCAACAAACCCAACAGACAGACCTGAAACCGGACAGCTGGAGAATGGTGAGGGTCTGCTGGTTGGTCAGTGGCCTGGTTGGTCAGCGGTTGCTGGATGCGATCTGGTCTGTGATGACAGTCTGGAATCCTCTGATCTCTGAGCTCGAAAGGACAGAACCAGTCCTTTTATGTAGGAAGCTGATTGGCCACACCTTCAGCAACAGCTGGTGATTATTCATCTTTGAACAAGCAGAACTGCAGGGCTTCACCTTTTAAGGTAAAATGAGAGAAAGAGGAGGCAGGGCTGATAACGTCGTCATTCAGACCAGTGTCTTATTTGGTTAAGTTTTGCCATCATTATGATTACATCCGATTAACAAGTGTAATAGAGTGGTTAGAAACTGATGCTGTGCAGCCAAACATGATCCGACCCAAAGACTTATATTAACCTTTTGTAGACTCAAAGGTTTTACAAATACCAAATCTATGAGGCTGATCTTTGGGGCATCGTGTCTAAATGATGCATTAAAAAAAAATACTGTCAAACAGAACTGAGTAAGCTGATTTGAACAACCTTGAACCCACCACCTTCTTCTAAGTGCTGGAAAATACATTAAAATCATATTTATAATAACGTTACTATCGGCAGTGTTTCTATATTTAACACTTTGGCTAGTAGAAAGCAATCTTTAGGTTTTTAACGCTACATCATTTATTGTTCAACATCTTTTGTCAGAATACATAAGTTAGTATCAAGCAGGCAAAGGTTAGCATAAAGGTCACAACCTTTGACCCTCATC